ATTGAGCCGGCTCCGGATCCAGTGCAATGAGAGAGTATCCACGTCTACCTGTTGTAACGGCAACTTGCTTTCATCGTTCTTATTGGCCACACGTGTGCGATGGGTACGTCGCAAAATGCTGTGCCCCTCAAAAAGCTTTCCATACTCCTTTCTACTAACCGGATAGGCCCATGGAAACATAGCCCAATTGCTGACCTCGTTTACATATATGCCGTCAGGTGTGCCGACTTGTTTGCCAAGGCGACCCTCGGCCCTATGTAGCGAGCTGTGCTGCGTGGCGGCTCTAGAGGGTCTGCGTGTTTCCCCAACTGGGCTAGCAGTCGAGGGTCGAGATAGTGTTCAATCACTGCTGCGGCTGCATGCGCCAGTGCCCCTCTTTTTATGGAATGCACTGTCATGACGAAGGGGCGGAGTACATTTTCCATGCCTCTTGTGGTTAACGTTGTGGGCCGTTCCCCTCCACCATTCTCTTGGTGACACATCTTGCCCTTTTTGCATCGTCCCCACCAATGTCCACATGTCGTGCCGCTCTGTGGGGGTCGGTTTTGAATGTCTTTGGGAGGGCGCCCCGTCTACAATGGGGGCTTCCTTGGTTTGAGGGTGGGGAATGAAATTTTCATTTTGGAGTAGAGCGATTTCGCCCCACCGACTGGCTGTAACCCAAGCGAGTCGCAGGGCAACCCGGTCGTTTTCCAAGGTTAAAATATCGCTGATGAGATCCAATTCCCACCTCTCCATGGGGCGGGCCCGTTTTATGGGGTCTGCGGCAGCTTTCCTTTGAAGACCGGCCAAAAACATCCAGGCCGGTGATCTCCCTGAAGCCAGTAAGGTCAACAAAGTTCTTGTGTATTGCACCGCGCTGCTCTTGGTGAGTTGTAGACTTACAATAAAAAGAGGAACGTTTTCCTCCCGAACCTCGAGATCGTTCCTTTTTGTGAAGTCGCAGAATCTTCGCATGATGGACACCCTTTGTTCCCAAGCCGAATGGGTCCATATACCCTTGGCTATGCGATTCGCCTCGGACGCCAGTGCTGTCACATATGGGTTGTCTGACGGTGCCGCGATCACTGCGACCTCGTTTGCCGAAGTTTTTAATGGCGGAAGGACCTGTGCCAGCTGATCCCTCCCAAGTGGGGGCCGCCCGGGGGGCCCGGCCTGAAAGGATGATGTGCTGGCCCCCTCCCGCGTAGAATTGCCCATGCGCCGGTAACCCAGCGGTGCCCGGGCCACACGGTAAGGATTCCAATACTTTCCAGGCCCCGGAGTTCACTGCCTCCGGGGCCGAAAACCGTTTTTTGGCTTGAAAAGAGCATTTTTCACCTGCACATAGCATGTTGTGCTGCGGTGCCCGGTGCGGCCACATTGAAAACAACGAGCATAGCTTGGAGAAGGGGCGGAATGTTTTCTTGCTTTCTGGACCGCCGATAGTGTTTACAAGGGTTTGAGTGTTGACTCCGGGGTTTTCCTTCGCCGCCTGAGCCACCCGAAGCTGATAATACAGCCGTCTGCTCAATTGTACCTGTTCGGCCGAAATTGCCCCGTGGCGGACGGCATGAACCCATGCCAGAAAATTGCCTCACGCCTGGCCTAGGTCAAATTCAGGTTTCGCGGGCAAGGAAAAAGACCACGATACACCGCCAGTGGCTGTTCTGGGGAGGTCTCCAATACAGACTCCAGGGCGCCCTCAAAGGTCCGGATATTTTCTTCATGTCGGAAACCCTTTTCTACGAACTTATTTCTCAGCTCTTGAATTCCTCGCAACCCCACCTGGGGTTGAGCCCCCAATCCAGCAAACGGTTGTTCTGTATGCCCGTCCATCTTGGCAGTATGCGTCACGGTGTGAATATCTGGTGGAAAATATTCGTTTCCACCCTCTGTTGCAGCCCGCCGCGCCGGCCGTCCCGTCTGTTTTTCATTTAGGGCAAACCAAGCCTGCATCTGATTGATCTGAGCTTGCATCTGGGTCTTCTCCTCGCACAGCTGGTTTTCTGCGCTTCAAACGTGTTAATCTGGTGCTGTAGTTGCTTAATGCAATCGTGGAATCCCACCGTCTGAGCGTAAGCGTCCTGCTGGATCTTTAAATTTTCTTCCGCCAGTTGTTCCCTGGTCATCTCGTACTGCTGATACAGCATTGACTTCCTTTCCTCCAGAGTCATCATCTCAGTTCGGAACGTCGCCCGTGCAACGTCAAATGCCTTGATAAAGTTTTCTTTCTTTGGCATGTTAAAAGACACCATGGAGCTTCGCATAGAAATTAAACTGGCTTTAGCACTATTCTTCAAATAAATGGTTAGTTCACCGTTTTCAATTGTTAACATGCCCTCGGCGCGATTGACCTGCGTACTAAAATTCTGTCTGAACTCAAAAGAAAAAAGGGTCTGACCGCGATGTTCGACGAACGCCCTGAGAGCTGACAGGCTCGTCATCCATTCCACGTCCATGAGGGCCTGCTGGGGGTTGGTGGATAATATTGCTTGCGTGTGACTTACCTTTCGTATCAAAACCTTACAATTTGTGGCACTTTCTCAAAGCAAGAGATGAAAACAAGAATGATGATGGATTTTTTTCCCTCGTGTCTTCACGACTCTCGTCGATGGCTCCGCTCCATCAGCCACCATTGTAGAGCACGTTCATTATTGCTTAATTTCTATGTGGAAGGAAGTCCCTTTGTTTTGTTATGTATTTTGTTATTTTTGGTGTTTTTGTTTTTTGTTCTGTTATTTTTGGTATTTTGATCTCTGTTTCGTTGTGCCGGTCCATTGAAAAACATGCGCTGGAGGATCGGTCGGCTCAGTGCTCTCAACTGGGCCGGGAAAGCCTACTTGCCCCATTGGCCTTAGCTCTCTCAGGGGGGAGGCACATTCTGCGTGAGATCAACAAAAATATAGAGGGGAGATGAAGCTGAGAGGGGGAGAGAGGACTATTCCTGGACCTCTATGGGTGGCGTCGGTTCTGTCGGGGAAGGCCGTTGAGGACAAAACCTTTCCACTGCAAGCAGGAATTTGGCCAACTTCTGCATAAAGCACAACTTCCCCATGCCGCCCCCATCCACCCCAAAGTGACAGCGTAGACTCTTTAATGCGGGACAGCTCAATAGGTGCATGCTCGTCTCTTCGCACTGTCCACGTTGGCTGGGTTTCACTACGTCCGGCCTGAATCCGTGGCTGACTATGCGGTGCCTAGTGAGTCCGTGTTTGCTGTGGCACTGGAAGCCGCACGTGGGGCACGAGAAGGCAGAAAGAGGCAAGTCATCAGGAGCATCCTCATGGAGCCGCCGGCGCTTTACCGTTACAGGAACCCCGTGGCCCTCATGATAGCGGCGGCAGTGCGGTCGAACGGATTCAAGAGAAGCGAACCATTTCAAACACACCAAGCATTGTATCTCTCTCCGCCGCTCGGGCGGTAGGGGGGCGGCTCCCTCGTTCTTTGGCTGGTCGTCGGTCGGGGGGGAAGCCTCTGTTCTCATACGCTTTTTAGGATGGGGCAATTCTGCTTCATCTTTTTCCTGCTTTATAGGAGTGGCGTGCAAGGTGGAGGGGTCCTCTCTCCCTCGCTTGGGGAGGTTTGGTGTGCCTGTGTTTGGGTCTTGTGCTCTGGTATTCTGTTCGCCGGGGTGCTTGTATTTCATGTGGCTTTCCAGTCCTCCAGCGTTGCCCATGGGTCTGAGACATATTGGGCAAAATAGTGTGGGCCGTGGTTTCACTGCTCGTGGCGGGTCTTGTGGAGAGCGATGCTTGGCACGAATGTGGGATAAGAGCCCCGTTTTACTTAGGGCTCCGAACCCACAGTGGTCGCATTGAAAAGGCAAGGTTTTGGCCTTCTCTTCCATCTCCCGTGCTCGTTTACGTTCTGCGTTTTGGTATTGCTGGGGGTGGAAGTAGCGAAGGTGCCTTGTTAGCCCCACCTGTCCTTTAAACGACGCCGCGCATAGGTTGCAAGCAAACTCTTCTCGACGCTTCTTGACGATCGGGTTGAGATCGCTCGTTGTGTCCAGTGCAGTGCGTTTGGGCCTTGGTGCTGGGGGAGGGGGTTCTGGCGGGATGTCCGGCGGCTCCTCAGCTGTGGGATGCTTGACTTTCCAGAGTGCGCGGGCACGTGTGAATCCATGTTTGTTGACCATGTGAACCACAGCGCTTGACCGACAGCCATAACGGGTTTGACATACCGGGCAGTTGACCGGATCACGGAAACGCAAAGGCGCTGCCTCTGTGTTTGCTGCAGGCGTTTCTATTCGAGGCTTTTTGAGTGGGGGAGGGGGTTCTATGGGGTTGCACCACCTGCATGTATTTGGCGTGGTGGGCTGTAATACTCGCAGTAGCCAGCCGTAGCGGTGGGATACACCAGTGCGAAAACGAGCTAGGGCCGCCTCTTCTTCCCGAGTTAAGCTGGGATCATTGCGTGTCGGGTTCCAATGGCCTGTGATGCTGGAGCGGTGGGTGGATGGTTTGGGCAGCTGGCTACGTATGTGACGTTTGGCCAGCGCTACCACATCCGGTATCCACGTGTCCCCGCGCTGCGGTAGGTCAGAGGCCGTCTTCGCTTCCTTATCACATGCCTCGTTCTTTGCAATGCCACAGTGGCCAAATATAAATTGTAGCCGTATGCGTGCCTTGCGGTGCTGCAGGTCCAATAACAGGTTCCATAGTAGTCGTAATATGGGGTCTGTGACTGTCAATGGACCTGTTTGTAGTGCCATGAGGAGTGACAGGGAGTCCGTGAAGACAGACACTCTGCACGGTCGAGTGTTGCGGCGGGGAATGATGTCCAGCAATTTCTGCAGTCCAACTTGCAATGCGATGGATTCAGCTCGGTAGCTACACGCAATCGGTCCTGCACCTGACTTTGCTTGGGCAATGAGCTCTCCGTTGAGGTAAATCATGGCTGCTGCGCCAGATTTTACTCCCAGTTCGACAGAGCCATCCGCCCACAGCTCATAGTGTAGTCTTTCAGGTGGCGTAGGTCCCTTCCGGCGGAAGTGTCGGGCTATCCATCTGGTACATGCTTGAAGTTTGGCCTCGTCCGGGTCCTCCGCGGTGACACCTTCAAGCGATGTGTGAAACAGTGCTCGAGATGCCCACCGCAGCGTGAGGGGCGCCAGGGGCGGGATCCTAGCTTCAATATGGAGTTCTGGGTAAGGTGCCATGATGGTGGTATACAGTTGTCGTACGGGGTGTTCGGTCGGGTATACCACTCTGGCACTGTCACGTACCGCCCCTCCTCGCGTTTCGCACAGGAGCATATATTTGAGGCTACGAGTAAGTACCGTCGTACTTAGCGGCTGCAGGTTGGCCTCAAGTAAAGCATCTTCTGTGCGGCTACCTTTGGGAATGCCGGCGATTATTTTACAGGCTTTGTACTGCCCGGCATTAAGCGTTGTTCGCGAGGTGGATGATGCGTCCCAGTACCATACTTCTATACCATACATTGCTTTGGCCTGCACTAGAGCCAAGTAGAAGGCACGCAGTGTGTCTCTCTTCGGTCCCCAGCTGCAGGATGAGACGGCCGCTAGCTGCATGAGTCGCTGGTTGATCTGCTGCTGTAGGCGTGCTACGTGTGAGCTCATTCCACGGTAGTTCTGGAATGTGATGCCCAGCAGGGTCGGGAGCCGTTCCATGGTGACCGGTGTTCCATTGTAGAGGAGGGCAAGGGGGTTGGCACTTGTGGTCCCGAAGAATGCATACTTCGTCTTGGATGCGTTAACCTCCATGAAGTATTGCTTCGTCCAGGATGCCACCACGTTTAGTCCCCGTTGTAGGGTGGTTGTCATGATCTCTCGGTCGCTGTGTCGGGCTATCAATGTAAGATCGTCTGCGAAAAAGCCGTGCCGTAGTGCCGGGACTTCAGCCAGCCGGAGGCTGAGAGAGTTCATGACAATAATAAACATGAGTGGCCCAAGAACCGTGCCTTGTGGTACACCTCTCGTGAAGGACACCGGCGAGGAGTGCACCTTGTTTGCGCTAACTGCTACTGTCCTATTTCGCAGAAAGGATGCTGACCATCGCACTATATGTTGCGGTACACCCAGCCGTCGCATTTCAAGTATGATTTTATCATTGTCTACTGTGTCGAAGGCTTTGGCGTAATCCACAAACACTGCGGCCGTTCTGTCCTTAGGAGTCGGTCGATGCATTACCGCTCGAAGGTGCAATAGTTGGTCCAGTGTGGAGTGGGATGGTCGGAATCCGGACTGCTGCGGCGTAAGCTTTGGCTCTATAACCTCACGAATGCGTGCTGCTATAATACGTTCCATGAGCTTGCAGAGGCAACTTGTGAGCGTGACTGGCCTGTATGACGCCAGTTCAGTCGCTTTCTTGCCGGGTTTTAGGAGTGGGATTATAATCCCGTGTCTCCAGCTCTGTGGGACGATGCCAGTGCGCAGGCTCTTGTTGAAGAGCGTTAGGACAGAGTGTTTCGCGCATTTCCCAAGGTGCCGTAGTGCCTCACCATGGATCATGTCGGGCCCCGGTGCTGATCCTAGCGGCAGGAGACGCAGCGCACGATCGAGTTCAGCCATTGTTATTGGTTGAAAGTCCTCATCCCTTGTTTTAATTGGGGGCGGGGAGTAGGATCGTGGGTGTCTTCGCGCTATTGCAGCGTACATGCGGGCCAGGTGGTTGGCCTTTTGGTGGTGTGAAAGCACAACCCCATCTGCCTTGACGGCGGGCGTGCTGAGGGGGCGGGGGGCGTATACACGCTTTATGATCTGCCAGCTGTTCCCGTTGGAGACCTCAAGGTTCGAGCAGAGCGTTCGCCACCGGCTAGTGGCCGCTGCGCGAAGAAGTTCCCTGCGTCGAATCTTGAGCCGCTGACTGGATTGGGCGTGGGGCTTGCTAGCAATTGCTTTATCCAAGTCGGCCAGCTCAGGGGTCCAGAACGGGGACTGGCGTCGATTGCCCTCCGGCACTGCTGCCTTTGTGGCAAGCCGTATACCAGATGCGATGTGCTTCTCTATGGTGTCTATGCGATTCATGCCTCGTTTGAGCCTGCAGTGTGAGTTGGTCAGTTTGCGGAACTTCGACCAGTTTGCCTTCTTCCATGTAAGCAAGGCCTTGTAGATCCGCTGCGCTTCTAGCGGACTGTCATCCTCACCCACCTGAACAGTATAAGTGATGATGTAGTGGTCGCTGTCGGGGGTGGGTCGCGCTGTCCAGATCTGCCACCATGCATTCCTTTGCCAGGGACACATCTGGCGCGGAGCCTCTATGCCTATCGGTGTACCGTGTCCTATTTCCAGTGTTGGCATGAGGAACTCATTGTCAATGCACCATTGCACAACGGCATCACCTCTGTTATCAGGCGGGATCTCGTGGCCCCATGATAATGCGNGTGCATTGACGTCAGCACCTATGAGCTGTGGCCCGTCTGTGTTGAGTCTATCGAGGTCCTCTGGAGTGATCTTGGTGGCGACAGGGGGGAGGTACGCTGATGAGATCGTCAGCTTCATACCTGCATCCAGATGGATGGTCACCTGTGCAAGCTCAATGCCTGCCACAAGCGCCGGTCCTGTCTCTACCTGTATCTCATCCCTGATGAGGATTGATACACCTCCACCACGACAGGTGCGAGCTATACCATAATGCTGGTACCCAGGGAGTCCGAAGCCAGCTGCTTCAGGGGTGGGGGACATTTTCGTCTCACTCAATAAGCAAAACGGGATGTTATCATCGTAAAGCTGTTTGCCCAAGGCTAGGTGTTTGGCCTTTGTTAGCCCAGCTGAGTTCCATTGCATGCCCCTCAAAGTAGGGCCGGGATTCGCTTCCAGATTTCCGCTAAGCAGCAACTTGGTGTGGATGATACTGGGGATAGCGCGGCGACACACACACCTCAATACCGAAAAGGATAATACTGTGTCACAGCAAGGCGCGGCTGGTCCTGGTACTGTGCGATGCCGTGAGCCTGGCGCCGCAAAGATCTCCAAGTGACGAACTGTGCTGGCGCTTGGTTTTTCTCAACAATACGGGACGTACTGGACCCTGGCACCACGATGCGGTGGCCGGTATCACCTTGGGTTGACAACCGCAGAGCTACGCCCACTCCATGTCACTGTTCAAGCGAAGATATCCTTTCCCACGACCCACGCAACCACTGGGATAGACTTGGAGTCCTCTTGAAGCAACTGATAGAAGTAGTGGGAGCCAGAAGCAAATGACTTGCCGATTCACGGTGTCCCAATCAGAATCCGCAGGGTCGATTTAAATAGTTGTCTATGTGTGCGCCAAACTGTCCGGAGTAGTGATATTGAATGATCTGCCATAAGAACAGCGTATCACCGTAGATAGAGGTGTTCGGAATATAAGACATATTTTAAGGCGAGCAAGGTCATATATTTTTTTATGAGCTGAAGACCCGTGTCAAGAAGCATGCTTTAGCACGGGCCTACATTCTCTTTCGCCTTGACTTTTTGTTTCCCTTTTCCCTCACCATCACAGTCTGCGGAGGAACGAACTTCAACACCCTAGTTGTCCACGCACTCGGCGGCCTATTATCGTTCTCTCTCACCTTGAATCAGACGCACTCAGAGGTCTTCCCACTACACGATGTCATACCTCGCATTGTACAAGGCCCCATAACGGCGTTTTCTTGGCGTGGCACATCTCATCTTCTTGTGTTGAGAATCTACCATCACGGTCACCTCAAAATCATCTGTTTTTCTCTCGAACGGACCGCACGGAACGGAGCGGCATCCCACTCTGAACAGATGCCTTGACGCAGCCACTCAATGCGTGACAACAACGGTCATGAGGGCCATGTGAAGAGGAAATTTTTTCCTCCTATCTCTTGCCTCTGCAGCGCTGGTAATATTTTTATCTGGCAAATGTTCAAGCAAGTCACACACTACACAAAATAGGGGAATACATATCAAGTTTTTTTTTCAATTCTACCTAATAATGCTAAGTTTCCAGAGTAGAAACCGATGAAAGAAAATGTTTTCGCCAGAACCCTCTCACAGTACTATCATATCTTCATTGGCAGCTTAAGGTCCCAGAGAGCGATTCACCGAGGGTGTTCCTCGCAACGGGGTAATTCCGAGGCCCCCTGGCCCATCTCCGATGCAACAAGGAAGGGAAGCAAGGGCCGCGTAGGTGGGGAGTGAGAAAATCAACCGAAAAAATTTTGCAACATAGCTCGTGGTTTTTTGCTATCAGATCGTCTCCAAGATTAGGATAACCCCGTCGATTGTAGAAAAGGGGGCCAGAATCGTAAAAGGGTCCGTTGAGTCTCACTCACGCTACAGCCACACAAACACAAAACAACCAGATTCTTTGGTTACCACAGCTAAACGACTTTTCTCTCGAGAGGAAGACTTCTATGGAGCACATACCTTTTTAAAGGTAAATAGGCCCTTGCGCCATAATGAAACGACCTTATCATGGTAAAAAAACTGACTTGGGTGCCGCTCGCCACGGGCTCACTACAGCAAGGCTTTTGGCACGACACATCGGCATATCTGCGGCTTGCTCCCCCGCAAGAAAAACAAGGGGCAACTACGCATGATGATGTACATGTCCCATTGGTGACCTCACATCGAGTCCCTACCACGGCGCAAACAGCAGCGTATTTTCGTGGAGGTTACGTGTGATGCGTATAGCACCGCTGAAACCCCAGCCCCCAGAGTGATCCGTGTTGGTCTATGCAGACCCCGTTCCATCCTTATATGTCGCTTGCACAATAGCTCGTTTGTTATACAGATTTAGTTTTGGCTTTATTTGGCTGTGCGGGCACGCCATCGCAGATCCGTGGTGCTGTGCATGATGATTCAAGCACCACGAATGGGAACAGCCCTCAGCTCCACATAAACGGGCTCCAGAGAGCACAGTGAGAGGGAGTATTCGGCAACTAGGATTTTTTGACGTTTGGTTTCTTGTGCAGGGATTCGCCTTTCTCACCTCACGGCAAAAAACAGCAGTATTCTGTGTGGAAGCATAAGCAAGTGTTGCGTCTAATATTACCCGCACCCACGCCAGTAGCAACCCAGCTATATCCAAGCACATGTAGGAAGAGAAAAATCCGTCAAGTGGGTAGCAGGTAGAATACGGCGTCGCCTTCACGGTCGACTGGGAGGTTTCGCGGTGGATTTGTCAACACAAAGCGTTGTCCACTAAGTGATAAGTTTCGCGGGTCAGTAATACGGCGGTGCAGGCCAATGGGCAGATAGCACAGGCTGAGGCAGTAATTTGCAACATCCTCATACGTCTCCAAAGCTTCAGGTGTAAGAGCAAGTGGAAGTCGTCCCAACGATGGCGTGTCATCGTCCATACCACTCACAAGCATGTCAATGATGTCAATGAATTCCTCCATGAAATATGTGCGGTGCACCAAAGGAAACAGCATATGTCTGCTAAGGGCGTTACCGATGATGTAGTTTGGCTCAAACACAAAGTCTACCTCGGCCTTTTGGTGAAGCAAATCGTCTTCTGCGTAGGGCGGGAAGAGGGAAAGATGCTGCAGACTGTCGAGTTCCACCACAACAGGAATGTTGTGAAATGACGGTAGGATAGCTGCGAGTGAGAGGTCAACGAGCATGGATAGTCCACTGGTGGATGCACCGCTGATGTCTCCTGAGATAAATATGAGGATGCCGGCACTATTCTTCACATTGCACCGCCGAAGATCATTTTCATTTAACCCGCAGCCCTCCACATGCCTCACAGGAATTGCGCCTCTCAGACTGTTCCAGTAGCGTTCAAAGTACGCGGAGAATGAGGTGTCCTGGGTCAATAGAACAATGTCATTCTGAGAATACGTCTGGCGGATGGAGCGCAAAACATGAAAAACATCTGCAGCGGCTGAAGTGAGAGAGCCCACCTGCGCCCCTTCCGTCTCAGGTGCCCTCGCCTTGGCGATAGCCAAGTCGATGATGACAAAGTGATTTTCCAAGTCGTATGCGTCATCCACTTTTTGGAGTGCCTCAATACCGCCACCAGTGACGCCTCGTAGGGTAATATGAGCATGCCTTTCGTCATCAAACATCATGCCAGCATGATCAGATTTCACATCTTCTTCAGTAAATGGAGCACAGCAGACTCGCTCTACTTCATTGATTGCCCTCCTAGCCGCTTGCAAGCATTTGGCAATAACAATCATCTTGGTAGCCGAGGAAGTGACGCAATGTGGATTCAGTTCAACAACCCCTTCATCGTTGATGATTCCTATAAGCGTCACATCGTGGTTGAAGAAAAGTCGTGCCAGCCAATGAAACTCACGTCCTCGGAAGGTGTTTCGCATTTCAACGCAGTAAATGTCATTGTGTAGAGACCATTCGTATTGCTCGATCCAATGGTGTGATAGTGTCACATCCGACGGACGTGGCTCGTAGGTGCGAAGCAGATTCATAATGAGTGGCACTGCCCCTGGAACAGCCACTCCGAGCCCAAGCAAATGGTGCAGGAGTCTCTCCACTTCTGCCACGCTGACAGCGTATGGTGTGTGTTTCATACGTAGAACACCACGGACAGCAACTCCTGTGTGCGGTGGGTAAGCAACGTAAAATCGGAGGAAAGCCGTGTGTGACTACAACAGTCACCGCCCTCCAAACACGCAAGTCCAGTATCACAAATGCTCACCCACAACCGTTATCGCCAGTAGAATACCGAGCTACTGGGGACATTTAAAGTCGAAACAGAGGAAGCCACACAATGATCGCTGTAGGGTTGCCCAGCTTTACTTCCGGCAGTGGTGCTGCTGTGATCCTGTGCATTCGCCTTAGACCATTTGGTCATGCGTCTGGAAGAGTGCACACTTTCTGAAAGTGGTGCCGTGAATGAAGAGAAACTAGCTTCTTGTGCCAAGCTAGTCCCACAAGTGTCTACGCATGTTTGTGTGCAATGTGCGTATTCGCTGTTGATGACCAAAACAAAAAAAAATAGAAAGAGTCTTGACACCGCACATTAGGCGAGGAGAGAAGTGAAGAAAAACCCCCCATGTGAGTTTCCCGGATGCCGTGGCAGGCGCCCATCAGGAAACGAAAGCAGGACCCTCTCATCTCTGCCTCCCGGCGTTTGTCTTATAAAGGACATACCACAACCACTTCATCTGTGCCACCATTCTAAAGAATAATCCGAAAAAGAAAAACATCTCAGGGAGAGAGAATGAAAAAGCCTCGCCAATCACACACCACGTGTTCTTTGCGTGGGGGCATAATTCCCTTCGTCTTCGTCGACAAATGGAAGCATGAGAAACGTGACGGAAATCGAGCATATCCCACCCCCTCTGTCCTGAAACAGTTAACCCGCACAGCTCTACTCTCTTCGCCACAGGCCATTCAACTGGAAATGGACTCAACATCCGCATCTCCCGAAGTGTAGCGCCGAGACTCATTTTGTTGATGATACCTGGCCGCGTCAACAAGCAACTTGCAAATCGACACGAGCAGAAGCACCCGCATGAAACGCGTGAATGGACATGCCATCACTACCCAAATTCCCAGGCTGTTTTTTTTTTACTTTTTGTATCACACCTATCATGCAGCAATAAAAGGAAAAGAAAAAAAAAGGCAACAGAGGAAATAGGTAAAACAAAAAAAAAAACAGAAGGTTCATATAACGTGGTAACAAAAGGGAGAATGCACTTACTCTACCATGCAGACTGCGCATACACAACCATTATCTAAATACTACGCAAATGATTCTAGAAGTGAGTGCTCTGTTACACACACTTGTTGATTCTCTCTATCGAGCAGCCCATGTTTTGGTCTTCCAGAAGGGGAAGACCATCTAATTTTTCCGCAACAAATGGCACTCATGGATCCCAGGCCAACATACTCTGACGCAGCCGCCATCGATCATCTTTTCGGCCTTGTTGTGCGAGGAACTTGTCACTCTTCCATATTTCGCGCATTTGTTGTCCCCGTCGAACAGGATCAGCCCGCCGTCGCAGCGTAGAGCCATTTGGACCCAAAACAGCACACAATGGTGCACCAGACCCGCCTCTGTATTTGTACCGGCCATCGCCTGTAAAACTGTACATTGTGTTAGCAGCACGCTGAGTAAGCAAAACTCGACTGGGACGCAATGGCATCTCTACCGACGCTGGGCGCTGAGTACGGTTCCCGTAATGCATACCTGGATGACCCTCACAGTCCTCTTCGTCAGCGAATTCAAAGCAGTCATCCTCGATGCACTTCTCATCCTCCTCCTCTCCTGAGTCCATTGCACCCACAATTTCATTCTGCGCATCACCATTGTTACAATTCATATAGAATTCCTTGAGCCCTCGCTCGTAGCGTTTCAGGTGACGTTCTAGGCGTGCATGTGGGTTCATGTACTCTATCAAGGTTGAATGATGTCCATATCCCGCGGGCCGCTCCCCTGTTGCAGCGGCTGTAGGAATTGATATACCTTCTTTGATGGCCCCGGTGCTACTGTGGCCCACGTGAACCATATCACCAAACTCAATGTGGCGCTTACCCCCTCTTCGTTCGCCAGCTGCGAGCTGCAAACGTTCTTCCACCACAACGCTGCCGACACTGTGGTAAGGCCTTTGGTGACGATAGTCACGAGACACCAAAGCTCCCGCAGCTCGTCCTCGCTGAGGGTGCCGTCCCGTTCCTGTCGAATTCATTGGAGTTGTGCGTCCACCGCGAATGGAGTATGATGAAAGCTTCGGCCACTGCTTCTGCGAGGTAGGCTTGGGGTTACAATTCCCTTTCTCATTGTTGAAATCCTGCAATTCATTGTCGCCATTGCCATCCCTGTCCTGTGGAGCCATTGTCACGTCAATGGCTCCACGCGGCGGGGAAGTGGAGGTGTAATGGAAGCTCTCCTCCTGTTTGCCTATTGGCGGCGGTGGTGGCGTCGATGAAGACGATTGTGCCGCCTCCCGACGGCGGGCTTGCGTTGCTTGCTGCACTGTTAAGGCGATATCCTCAGCGGAGGGATTGCGGTAGCCAAGGGATGCCAACACACGCTGCACCTCTGNGCTTGCTGCACTGTTAAGGCGATATCCTCAGCGGAGGGATTGCGGTAGCCAAGGGATGCCAACACACGCTGCACCTCTGCCACCTGAGCAGCATCGAACTCGCCAGCCATCCAGCACAATGAGTCTAGTCCTTTTTTTCTCTTGTGTGTGTGTCACGGTACGTTCGGAAAAAAATGCACTTTTCCACTCACGGCGCCACAGACACTCTTCTCAAGGCCACCTGTGTGAAGGGGATGCCTAGCCGTACGCCACCAATCCTAGGCGTGAATTTCCTGTTGCACGCGGGACGGGACAACGGGGAGCACAGAAGGAGAGAGAGAGAGAGAGAGAGAGATAGCGCGCCAGAGAGAAAAGCGATCCTAGAAAAGCAACCATGCAGAAGTCGGTAAAGCTAAACAAAAGAAAAAAGGGACAGTAATTAAAATGAATGAGAGTAGAGGGTGGTGTGAGCGTCGGTGTTGGCGTGTGGCGTCATGCGGCAGAAGGCAGTGCCATAAAGAAATTCGGTGCCTTAGCCGTGATTATAAGCAGACGTGCATACAATCGGTGCCGCACAGAGGCAGATTTTTTTTTACGCTGATTCTCTTTAGTGTTTTTTTTTCGTTTTTCTTTTTTTTGGTTTTTTTTTCTCTTGCCCTGTATAGGCCGAGCCGTGTGTATTTCCATTTTTCCTCGTTTCAAACTGATTGGGTCCCCCTCCTTTTCGCTTCCTTTTCTTTCCCACTTTTCTTTTTCTCTCCAGTTTTCTTTATTGCGGCTGGGCGTCGGGGGCAGCCGGGAGCGCCTTCACCGCGGCGGAAAGCGACGAGCACAGCTCCGCAAACACCTCCGAATTCTCCGCCACTGCCACTGCTCAGCTCCGCGCCCTCCCCTTCCCCGATTGGAGGAGCCACGCCTTATGTTTGTTTTCGTCGTCTTGGCTCCCAACTCTCTCGCTGATCCCCTTCCCGCGTGGCCGCTTCCCCGATCGACTTTACTTTCCCTCCCCCCCCCCACCTGCTGTGAGGCACACAAGACAAGGCGCGGTGTCGGCACTTCCTTCGCTGGGGGCGGTTTGTATGTGTGTGTGTGTGTGTGTGTGTGCGGCTATGCATCCTTCTGACGGTGCGTGTCCTTTTTTACCTGCCTGCTTCCCGAAGCTGCATTATCCGTAATTTCCTCTTTGGCTTAGTTTGTTGCACATTCCAGCTTTGATTTCTGTTTAATACTTCGTCGTTCCTTCCGTGTGTTTCATGCGGACCGCCAGCAGCCTTCACGCCACCACACCACACAACACCACACCACCATGCCGCTCAATATCGCAGGGGCTACAAAAAAGAAAAAGAGGCCGACGAAAGCTATTCCGCGCGGGTTCCTTTGGTTTGTCCCCTTCCTCTGCACCTGACATTCACCCTGTCGCTCTTACCCTCTCTATCTGTTAGGCTTACCCCTCTCTCTCTCTCTCCTTCCCCTTGTGTGTATGTCAGTCCTTCTCGCTTTTACGTTTATTGCACACGCAGCAGGAAGGGGCGCGTTGAGTGGATGGTCTCCTCTTCTGCTCACAATTACACCCCTCTCTCTTACTTTTACTCTTTGCGTTTAACGCCTCTCTCTTTTTTTTGTTGAGTTCTTCCGCGTATTTCTGATGCTTCTGTTGCATTTCTTTTTTTTT